ATGTGTGTCAAGAATTCAATATTATCCTTAGCTACATATGTAGGTTATCAGGCACTTCATCAGAACTTCTGAAGGTGGGTGTGGCATCAGCAAGCACTGGGGATGTTCCCTCCCAAGGTCTTTACCTAGCTATCCTACCCAGTGGTGATTTCTTACTCTCCCAGCTAGGAGGCCAAAGAGGAGTTTCTACATCGAAGTCTAGTGCTTTGTCTGCTGACATTGACTTCAGGTGTCTCTTTCCCCCATTTTGCTGTGATGCACCAGGAAGGGAGGGCAGAGAGTTGAGATGCTACTGCAGGCTTTGCTTCTTCTCAGCAGCATTTATCCCCTCTTCTGGGAGGCTCTGTGGTCTGGATCCTGGCATGTCCTTGGACATAAGGGAGGAGTTAATAGTTGTAGGAGCATGATTCACCAAGTCTGGGATTTTCTTGACTAAACAGGGATTAGAAAGTTGACAATCTGTTGGCTCAAGGGTCCTCTGTGCAGGTGGCTTCCTCCAGTTCCACTGTTAAACAGATCATTAAATGATGTCACAGACTCTGCAGCCAGCAGGATATTCTGTTCCTTGGGCCATTATCATCTTGACCAACCTCTTTTTAAAGCAGAGAGCTCATCTTTGCCACCATTTCTGCTAGTCTAGGGGATGATCTCCAGGAGCCTGAGAAGATGCTAACTTTCTGTGTGTTATACAGTTCCAAAGTCAGGCTCAAGCACTGAAGTCTGTGAATTCCTTTCTTTGCATTAATTCTAGGAATTTCTGGAATCTTAGTTGTATTTGACAACAGCAGCAATGGTAGGGACAAGGGGCTGCCCAAACTGGACATGTTTTTGTCTTTCTACTGTGTTAGATTTTACTGAATAACAATAAATTCATAAGTCATGTCAGTTTTGGTGCCTGTGATTTACTAAGTAGTCCTAATATATTTTGAGACAGGTTTTCTCTGTGTAACAGCCCTGGCTGTCCTGGAACTAGCTCTGTAAATCAGACTGTCCTGGAATTCATTTTCCAGGCATGCATTTTCTTAATTAGTGATTGATATGGGAAGTCACACTACATTGTGGGTGGGGGACACCTCTGGGCTGGAGGTCCTAGGTTCTACAAAAAAGCAGGTAGACTTGAGTTTAGTGTTGCTCGTCTTTAATCCCAGCACCCAGGAGACAGAGGCAGGTATATCTCTGAATTGGAAGCCAGCCTTGTGTACAGAGTGAGTTCCAGGATAGTCAGGACTACTACACAAAGAAACCCTTTCTTGAAAAATGAGAGAGAGAGAGAGAGAGAGAGAGAGAGAGAGAGAGAGAGAGAGAGCACTGAACAAGCTGTGATGAGCAAACTGTGTTTGAGCTTTTGACTTTCCGGCTTTGGTTTCCCTTAGTGGATTGTGACTCCAGATGTGTAAACCAAACAAACCCTTTTTTCCCTCAAGTTGCTGTTTTGGTCATGGTGTTTCATCATGTCAATAGTAACCTCAACTAAGACAGTGATAAAGAGGCCTCTGAATTCAAAGAAGTCTTACCAAGGACAGAGGCAGAGAGCTTATATGCACATGGTTAGATAAGATATTAACTAATGAAAAGGAAGAGCTACTGGAGAGGTGCAGGAGTAGGGCTGTGGAGGTGAGGGGCAGGACTGGGGCCAGATGGAAAGATGGACAGACTGAAATTTGAGTGGGCAGTGACAAGTAGTCAGATATCCGGCTAAGCCAAAGCCCCAGCCCCAGGGGCCAATGAGGATTTTTTTTCCCACCTATCTATCCCTTGAGGCACATACTGCATGGGATGGTCAGTCATGACTGCTGTCCTGGTAGTGTTAGGTGTCTCTTCTTTTAAGTGATCCATTGCATTCTTTTTGGCTTGGTGTATTCAATACATTCAAAACACCTGGCTTTTCTTTTTCTTTTTTTCTTTCTGTTTTTTAGAGAAAGGATTTCTCTATGTACCCTGGACCAGGTTGACCTCAAACTCAGAGATTCACCTGCCTCTGCCTCCCGAGTAATGGGATCAAAAGTGTGCACCACCACCATCCAGAAAGGCCTGGCTTTCCTGAGACTTTTTAAAGGTACCCATGTGCCTCAGTGTTTTGATAAGCTCATAGGTGGTAACTTTGCAACTTGTTAGGGATGTCATTTATCAGTCTGTGCCTCATGGGTGGTGCTGGAAAGTGCCGCTGCCTATGTGCATGAATGAGATACAGAGTCACCCTGCCTCTACATCTGCACTCAGGATATAGTCAAATGCTGCCTGTAAAATGAAGTCACCCAAGGCAGGGCACAGCCTGATCTATATATTAAGTAAGCACTTTGCCACTAAGTTACATCACCAGCTTTTAAAAAGATTGTTTTGAAGGCCAGTATCAGCTACAGAGCAAGTTTGAGGGCAGTCTGAGCCCCATGAGATCCTTTGTAAACTAAAATTAATTTAAAGACAGAGACTCATTAACTTGCCTGTCTGGTCTTATACTTCCAATCCTCTTAGCATCTGAAGTAGCTGGTACTACAAGGTATGAACATTTATTTTATTTTTCTATGGTCGTGGGGATTGCATGTGTGGACTCATACATTCAGGGAAAATATTCTATCCACTGAGCCACACCCACAACCACTTTAGAGGTTTTGAGTCCCTCTATATGTACACATTGTTTTTGGCAGGAGTTACTCAACCCTGACCTTCTCTCGGTTTTTGTCATTTCTGATGACCACAGGTAATTACCTACACAGAGATAGCCACTGGGTCTGAGGTCTTCTACATCCTTGTCCTTCCATAAGCCAGGACCTAGTCACACCTGCACTAGACAGAGAACCCCAATATTCTCTAAGCTTCATTATCCTAACCTACTGAAGAAATAAGAGGAAGAAAACTGGGCCATTTGTAAAAATGACAGGAGGTGTGAGCAGATCTAGGTGAGCATAGGAAGGGCCAGGCAGTGTTGCAGAAGCTGTCTCTCTGGGATGCTCTGATATTCTCTCCCAACAACCCCAGCTGGAGCTTGCAGAGCCCTTATTACCTAGTGGTTATGGTGAAAGGCAGGGCTCAGTACCATTCAGACTTGGGGAAATATACTATGATGAGGCTAATGTGACAAGTCTCTAGTTCAGACAACGTTAAGAAACAGAATTGTTCCCAAGGAGTGCACATTAGCAGCCTCTCAGGGAGGAGTGGCTTTTGTTTGGAAGGACCATGTGCTTGGGTTCCAGGCTTGGGTGGGATAAGTGATATGGGTACATGTGTATCTGGAAGGGCAAAAGTGCTGGCAGGAGGTGGCCACTGTCTGGCCTGATGTGGCACACTTGTGTGATCCTATGTTAGTTTTTTTCTTTCTGTGACAAAATACCTGACTAAAGCAAGTTAAGAAAAGGAGGCTTTGTTGAAACTCACAGTTGGACGACAGTCTCTCAAGGTGGGGAAGCCATGGCAGTAAGCAGCTGTTCACATTATGATCACAGCCAGGAAACAGAGATGAATGTTGCTGCTTAGTTACCTTTCCTTTTAATCAATGAACGACCCATGCTGCCTATGTTTATGGTGGGCCTTCCCATTTCAATTAAACTAATCTAGGAACTTCCTGACAGTTTTGCCCAGATGTTTGTTCTCATGGTGATTATAAATCCCATCAAATTGACAATCAAGATTAACCATCTTTTGAGATGGCTCAGCAGGTAAAGGTCCTTCCTGGGACTCACAAGATGGAAGGAAAGAATCAACGCTCACAAGGTGTCCTCTGATCTCCACATTGCATACCCCTCAGTAAATAAATTATAATAAATTTTATTTAAATATTAACTATCACAGGTAAGATGGTTGTGGTGAATCCCAGAGTCAGTGCAATGGAGGAGTCAGAAATCCTCCTGCAGCTTTGTTCCTGTCTGGGCATAGGCCTTGGGGGGTTCCTATTGCTCCTGTCCAGCACCCAGATGGTCCAGAAGCATCCTTTTGATGGGGAGGACAAGCTGGAGGGTAAGCACCTCTGCCAGGAGGTAGCTGTGGAAGTTTATTCTCTGGTGCTGGCCCTTTGCCCCTTAGACTCTCATCAGGCAAACTCAGCAGCCTTGCCAGAGAATTGGTTTATTATGTTCTAAATTTTGTCTATCAGTCTTGGGGCCTTAGTGGGATGCCTGATTCCTGGGAGGGTCCTGTCTCTCCCATCTCCTGGCTAGGCTCCACAGGGACTGTGTAAAACAGCATGGGAAAGGACAAAAATCTGCCCGGTGGGTCTGGGCCAGGATAGCCACCTGAAGTGGGGAGCTTCCTTTTAAAAACTTATCTGGTTTCACCAAAGAGATCTGGAGAAGGGCCATTATATTCTCCATTTCCCGGAGTGTCAGCCCCAGCCAGGTCCTCTGCAAAATGGAAGAACCTTCAAAGGAAGTATTCAATCGGTCCACTTGGCTAGGGAAGGAGACAAGGGAGCAGAAGCAAGACGTACAGGGGCCTGGGTGGGTGTGGAGAGGTTGTACTCCACATAGCAGTCACCTCGGCAAGGGTGGTCAGTCTATCCTCAAGCCTCTTTTCCCTATTTGTAAAGGGAGTGGGGTCCTGGAGCAGTGCGTCCTTTTGTCCCAGCTTAGAAGCTCGCAAGCGTCTCCGGCTAGGGCTCCACGCGGGTGGCTTGGGGAAGGAGAAGGAGGTCAGTCCTACCGCAAGGGAGCAAGGCTGGGGCTGGTTTGACTGGAGAAGGTTGACCACTGCAGGTGGTAGCGCAGCAACCTCCCCCCTCCCGCTCCCGTCTTCAGTTTGACGCAGGGTTGGTCCAGCTTTGATGTCGGTATCCCTGTGTACGCGAAGTGAGATCTGGGGGGCTAGTCAGGTTTACATTAGAAGGATTCTTCTCTTGGCAATGATAACAGGAGGCGCGGCGCCTGCGCGCTCCGCATAGCTTGGGTTCTCCTGGCTGCGATCCCGCCCCATCCAGCGCCACGCCCCCCTCCCCCCGCCCAACACCGCGAGAATGCGCACGCGCTCTCGCACCGCCCATCGCCGGGCGCGAGGCTCAGCGTGCGCGTCGGCGCGTGCGTCGTGCGTGCTCGCGCGCGCGGCCCAGCGAGCGGCGCTCGGGGGCCCGAGTCGGCTGTGGCTAGGCGGCTCCGCGCTCCAGGGCTCCTCGGCGTGACGGCCGCGCCCGCGCTGTTCCAGCCCGCCGCCGAGGCCGCTCCCGGGGCGCGAAGATGCCGGCCGTATCCAAGGGGGACGGGATGCGGGGCCTAGCGGTCTTCATCTCCGACATCCGCAACTGTGAGTACCAGGCGCCGGGCGGGCCTGAGCGGGGGCGCGGCTGGGGGTCCGCAGGTGCGGCCGGGGGCCTGGGGGTGCGGCCCGGACGGGGAGGGGTATGTGGTCGGGCGCGCGGGTCGGCGCAGGTCTGGGAAGGAGGGCTGCGGGGTGCAGATCGCGTGGTGGGGCGGGGGTCCCGCGCGGTCACTTAGGGTGCAGAGCGCGCGTCCTGGCTGCACATCTGGAGGGAGTTGGTTGCTTGCTGTGGGGGCCCAGACTGGGGCGGGGGTGGTGGTGTCCCTGGTACTGCACAGACGGTGGGGTGTGGAGTGGAGATTCAGGCCAGTGTGTGGGGCAGGGTCCTGGACGTGCTATCTGGCAGTGGGGGGTAGGAAGCAGAGTTGCCAGGCAGAGATCAGGGGGTGCGGACTCCTGGTAGAGTGGGTGCATGTATCGGCTTGGATGACTGGGGATTGCCTGTGGGTGTTCGGACTGAGGTGCGGGGTTTAGGTTTCTCTAGGGTAGCGATGGGTTTGTGGGGCGGGGTGGGGTGTCTGTGAGGTTTGTGGCACTGTCGAGGGGCTTCCGGCCCAAGACGCCCCTCCCCAGCATGATGTCATCTTGGTCTTTCTAGTAATGGAGCTTTTAACCCAGCCTTTTCCAAAACAGCGTGGATTTTCTCTTTGGGCGGGGATCGGGACACCGTACGTCTCGGACCTGATTCAGGCGGCTTGTTGGGCGATGATTAGATCTCACCCACTGCGATTAAAGTGACTCATTCCCCCAGGGAACCGGCAGCAGCCGGGTGTGGATGCTGGAAGCTGCTCCCGCTTCTCTGTTGAGCCGTTCTGTAGCCAATGTCCCCTGGGTTGGGAAAAAAAAAAATCGGCCTAAAGTGAAATGGGTCAGAAGGTTAAAGGTCAGGCAGGGCGGGTGCCCAGGACTTTGACTTACAGAAACTTCTGAGGGTTATCAGACATTCCCTTACTGAGGAGAAGAAAAGCCATTTTCCTGTCAGTTGGTTTTTTTTTTTTTTTTTTTTTTTTCCTGGTATCCAGCAAATAGCTGACTCCATGACTTTTGTTACTTTAGAGATTACTGTCCTGAGGAATTTTGCTCAGTGCTGTTGTCACACTTCATTTTATACTGTGTTCTATAAGACTGGGTGCAGGACCCCAGCTTGCCTGGTTCTGTAGAATTCTGGAAGAGTAGACTTCTGCTCTGCAAATATACAGGCATCCTTGGATTAGGGCTTACAAACATTGTAGACAATAACGTTCATAGTCATGATGCATTTTTCTTTTCTTAAAATTTTTGTAAAAAGCTACATTTACAGGTGTGTGTGTGTGTGTGTGTGTGTGTGTTTATCTATAAACCATGGTGCCTGTGTTGTGGTCAGAGGACAGTTTTCTGAGAAATCCCTTTTCCCCTTCGATCATGTGGGTCTTAGGAGTGGCAGAAAGTACCTTTACCCATGCCCCCATCTCCTCCCCAGCCCCATCCCTGTTTTTTGAAGATGGTTACACTGAGCAGGACATTAAAAGTGAAAGCCAGTTTCTTTTTCTTTTTTTGGTTTTTCAAGACAAGGTTTCTTTGTAGGTTTGGAGGCTGGCCTCGAACTCACAGTGATCTGTCCGCCTCTGCCTCCTGAGTGCTGGGGCTAACTAGTTACCATTTGTTAGACAGGCGTCCTGTGTTTCATTAGAGGTGGCACATGGTGAGAACTTGGTAAATAACTTATTGGCTGACTATAGATCAAGCTTTCCCTGCACAGCTGATCGTTGGGGGTGATTGGCATTTGTTGTGTGTGTGGGGGTATTGTTCTGTGTCTTGGACTATGTTCAGCAGCACTAGGTGCCTCAGTTGTAATAGTGGTAAATTGTTCCCCAAAGGTGTGGGAAATGTGTAACACCATCCCTAGAGGAACCATTGAAAGAGGGGGTACCTGGGCCTCTCTGGGAGCCAGGTCTCTGCGTGACCCAGCCATTCTCTCAGAAGTAACTTCCAAACTGTCAGGCCTCTTCTAAGGAGTAGTGTCCTCTGTTGTGATGTTTTTTCCAGTGGAGTCTATGTCCGGCTGTATAGGAAGCACCAAAGTAAGGGCCCTCTGTGCTGTGCTCTTCATTTCACCCCTTCCGTGCCCCTCAGTGTCTGGCACACAATATGTGCTCTGTGAGTGAGTCAGCTCCAAGCAAGACACAGAAGCTCTCACTAGGGAGCAGGGACCAGACCTAGTGCAAACTTAGTCCCTAGCCCTTGGGGGGGGGGTGTCACTGTCCTGAGTTTGTGTTTATTGTTTTCTCATGAAGAGAGGGAGTGGTGGCTCTGTGGAGAGGGGGTCCCAGGTCAGCCCCCAAAGTGCAGTGTGGGATCCTGGTTCCTCTGCCAGTCCCGTAGGTAGAAGCCACCAGCCAGTGAGCCTTGGTTCTCAAGACTTGCTTACAGGCTGAACTGTCATCAGAGTCTGTTCCACCTCTGTTTCAGCAGCATTTTTAACCTGATGTTTCTCTTTGGAGGCCTTGGTTGAACATTGAGAGGAAGGGAAAGGTCCATGGGAACAAAGGGATGTGAGCTGGGAGGTTCTGTATCTGTTTGCATTTGGGTTACTAGTTTACCCTCTTAGCATAGGCAGCCACCAACTTGCTATGTCCCATGTCACTTAAACTTGTAGCTTTGCAGCTCAGGTAACAGACAGATTTAGTCTCATAAAATTAACCTGCTCTTTCCTGATCTGCTTCAGCCAGGGCTGTGAATTCAGTAATGTGATTTCAGTGTGTCAGAGTCCTGTAAATTGCTTCTGTTTCTCTTGCCTTTATTTTTGTGTATGTGTGTGCCTGCCTGCTTGTTTGTTTATATGTATATCGTGTGCCTGCAGGTGCCAGAAGAGGCCAGAAGGTATTGGATTCCCTGGAATGGGAGTTACAGGTGGTTGTGATCCACCCATGTGATTGGTGGGTACTGGGAACTGAACCTGTGTCCTTTGCAAGAGCATCAAGTGTTCTTGACTGCTGGGCCATCTCAGCTTGTTTCTTTCTTCTTTAAATAATAACATACTATACATCTATATCTATATAGATATAGTATATGAATGTTTTGCCTGCATATCTGTCTGTATATATGCCACATGTGTGCCTGGTACCTGTGGAGGTCAGAAGAGAATGTCAGATCCTTTGGAACTGGAGTTATAGGCACATGTTAGCCGCCATGTGGGTTTAGGAATTGAACCTGTATCCTTAGCAAGAGAAGCCAGTATTCTCTCTTTCTCTTTCTCTCTCCCTCTCCCTCTATCTGTCTCTCTCTTTCTCATCTTTCTGTCTCTCTGTCTCTGTTTCTCTGTGTAGCCTTAGCTGCCCTGAACTCATAGGGATGTGCCTGTCTCTGCTTTGAGAGTTCTGGGATTCAATGCGAGTGCCACCATGGCTGGCATAGCCACTGTTATTAACTGCTGAGCCATTGCCATTTCTCTCTACTTTTTTTTCTTAAATTAAAAAAAATTATTTTTATTTCATGTGCATTGGTATTATTGCTTGCATGTATATCGGCATGAGGGTGTTGGATTCCTTGGAATGGGAGTTACAGACAGTTGTGAGCTGTCATGTGGGTGCTGGGGATTGAACCAGGGTCCTCTGGAAGAACAGCCAGTGCTCTTAACCTCTGAGCCATCTCCCCAGCCCCATTTTCTCTCTTTCTAAGTTGCCAGAAAAACTTTTGGAGTGGTAAGATAGCTGAGCTGGTAAGAGCACTAGCTGCCAAGCCTGAGGACGGAGCTGGAGCTCTACCCCGGGACCCACATGGTGGGAGAAGAGCTCTGCCGAGTCTGCTGTGGCACGTGGCCCACCAATAGTTAAAAGAGAAAATTTTAGTTTTTTTTAAAAGTCCAAGTTTTAAAATAAATTTTTCTTTCTCTCTTTTCATTTTGCAAGAAAAAGTTTCTTTGTGTAACTCTGGCTGCCCTGGAACTCACTCTGTAGACCAAGTTGGTCTCTAAGTCACAGAGATCTGCCTGCCTCTGCCTCCTAAGGGCTGGAATTAAAGGCATGTGCCCCCACTGCCCGACAATAATTTCTTATTTTGAAATAATTATAGATTCATAGGAAGTTGTCTTAGTTAGGGCTTCTATTGTGATAACGAAACACCATGATCAAAAAGCAAGTTGTGGAGAAAAGTACTTATTTGGCTTACATTTCAGCATTGCTGTTCATCACTGAAGGAAGTCAGGATAGGAACTCAAGCAGGGCAGGATCCTGGAAGCAGGAGCAGAGGCAATGGAGGGGTGCTGCTTTTACTGCCTTGCTTCTCATGGTTTGCTCAGCTCACCTTCTTATAGAACTCAGGACCACCAGCCCAGGGATGGGCTGAGCCCTCCCCGTTTGATCACTAAATGAGAAAATGCCTTACAGCTGGATATCATGGAGGCATTTCCTCAGCTGATGCTCCTTCCTCTCTGATGACTCTACTTTTGTCAAGTTGTCATACAGACCAGCCAGTACAGAAGTTGTGAAGAAATTGACAGGAAGGTCCTTGGCATCATTTACCCCACCTTTCCTGATGTGGACATCTTTTGTAAATAGGGCATTTTCAACATGGGAGAGCAGACAGTATAGATCACTGGGCTATTTAGGTTTCATTATTTTGATTATTTATTTATCTATTTGGTGCTGGGGATTAAACTGAGGGTCTTGAGTATTTCAGCTCCTAGATGTCAGTAGTTTTACCTGTACTCATGTGTATCTGAGTGTGTGTGTGTGTGTGTGTATGTGGTGCTGTGTGGCTTTAGTGTGAGTAGCTTTATGTGACTTCTACTTTTGTGAGAGACTATTCTGCTCTCTTACTATGAAGCTCCCTGGCATTAGCTCTTATAGCCACACCCACCGCCTCCCACCATGGCAACCACTAATCTGCTCACCAGCTCTGTAATTTTGTAATCTCAAGGATGTCACATAAATGGAATTGTACAGCATATGACCTTTGGAGGTTTTCACTCAGTATGGTCCTTGACACCCATATAGGCTGATGTGTTG